AAACTCCATCAGTTCCATACAAATCATCATTAAATGTATATTTTGACATGAATGAATTGCCAGAAATTAAGGAAAATTACAACAATTTTCATCCATGTTTGCTGATATGCTACAGTTGCCATTAAACAACAAATAATTCTGGATAAAGCCTTTATTTACGACTAGCCGAATCATTGAAAAGCTATTGTGAAAATTTGACAGTCATTGCTCTAGAAAAACGGAATAATTTCAGTAATAGTTTCCACATAAGAGGCAATGAATGAATAGAGCCATTAAAATAATCCCTATCATTAGCTATACATTTTCTTTTTTACTCAAACTTGCCACTTTTTTGTGCGTTAGCCCTCCTTCATTTTATTGCGATTTTTCGGCGTTTTCAGCATTTATTGGCTTTGGAGCGATATTTCATAGCTAATTTCATTTAGCTTTCTTTTTCACACAGAATGACTAGCCTTCTTGTGTGTTGCATGGATTGATGAAGTGATTGAAAATATTTTGGTGTAATAAATTGGGAATGCAGTTCAAAAAATAATTTAATTCAGTTCTCTAAGTGCAGCTTAGTTTTAACGGTTTCCATATTTTTGAAATTTTTAAGCAATTAAAAATAAAGACCCATCTTGTAAAATGACACATCATCCCCAAATAAACGCTAAGAATTTAGTAAAGAAAAGCGCAACCAACTGAACAACGATACAACAATGACGACAAGCAAGGAGGAAATAAAAAGAAATTATAATGATAATGACAAAAAAATTTCTACCGACAAGACGATGAAGACGATTAAGCCATAAAATAATTAAGTGGCGTAAAAGTAAGCGTCGGAATTAAATTGAATCTTATAATGCGATTAAGTACAATTAGTCAAAAAAAAAAAAAATAAAAATTACTGTGAAATTCTCTCCATCAGTTAATGCTTTACTCCGCAATAAATTTTGATACTCTATATAATGACTACTTAGTAATTTTGCTGATGCCTTTCGTGAGAGGATTAGCGAAATTTTAATAAAACGGGATGAGAATTTACCTGCTGAAGATTTATTCTTCAACGAGATCATATAATTTGAAATTTATTGTGAGCTTAACATAATTAATGCAATTAAAATCTTCACGAAATTTTGGATTTATTAATAAATTATTTCTTGTAAATTGAATTAAATTATCCAAAGATTTATGGTTTTGGTTGATAGATTAGATGATTGGTTGGCAATGAAATTTAATGCTATACTGGTTGCATAGTTTTGTGGACAAGATGAAGAATGTAAATGATCGATTTATTAGCTGAAGATTTAAAACTTTGAGTTTAATATTATTTTATTAACGTTTATTCAAATTCTAAATTCAGAAACTAAAGATTAAAAGATATAGCAACGAGCTCTACCAGCTCTGATTTCTCAATTTCAAGGACTATACTACAAATTTATAGAAAATATTATTGTGCACAGCAATTCATATCAATGAGCCAGATTATCCAATATAAACAATTTCCTCTAAATATGCTTTAAATAAATTATCTATCATAAGTGAATGAAAATAAACAAATAAAAAATTTAATAATGAGATATAAAATATGAAAAAAATTGTGCCGCAATAACAATAAACTGAAAATCAATTTTGTTTTCATTTCGAATTGCTAGTTTGTACATCCACGTACCTAGTAAGCATATATTGTCTGTAAACTTGGCAATTAATTAGCAAAATGTTTCGCAAAGCAGTGATTGTGATTAAAACTTGTGGGTGCTTGTCATGTTTGTGGTTTCAAAAGGATTAAATCGATAGATTTTCAGCATTTGTAATCGGATTGATTTTGTTTTTGTGATTTAATCTAGAGTAGCGTTGTATTGGTTTTTGGTGCCTTTCAGCGTGGCAGTCTCAGCCCTCTTGCTTTGGTCATATAACCAAAAATAAGCGCTTACATTGACCAATGTCTAATGTTTCATAAATCAGTTCCAAACTTTAGCTTCTTCCTGATTGTTGATTTCATTCCACAACAAAAAAAAAATAAAACAAATTGTTTGGAACTGAAAATATGAAAAATTCTATATTAATTATCAAAAATATAAGTGTAATGTTTTATTCTGTTTATGATTATTATTGTGCCTATTGATTATTTAATTTTCCTGTTTTAGGGCTTCATTTATAACAATTTTGTTGCTCCAAATTCTATTGTTAAGTGGATTTAAAAGTCATTTGAGCAATAATAATAATCATAAACATTATTTAACTAATAAAACAATTTCTTTTGTTGCCCTTTACGGATTAACAATTGTTTGCGAACACAATCCCTTTCCTGGTTATCAATGTCAACGCTGGAAACTTTTTTTATGACTTTTAATTTTTTATTTCATGAACTTATTTCAACTTTTATCGTTTTCTTGTAAAATGTACATAAATTTTAATTTTTATTACGAATTTCTTTTTAATGTTAAATGTTGTGGCATTTTTATGATCCGTTTCCATTTTATTTCCATTGCAATTGACAAGAATGAGCTTTTAACAATAGCAAAAAAAAAAGTTTAAAGAAAAGATAGGAAATATTAAATAAAAAAGATGTGGAACACAATAATTTCATTTATGTGTATTTTTGCGTGATAAGATTTATGGGATTTCCGCTCAGTCGTCTTTGCTCTGTTTAGAGGCAGGAAATTGGAAATGTTATTTGGTAACATAAAAAATTCTATCATTCTAATATGTTGTGTGTATATGTGACACAATACATTGTTTGCTTCCGTCTTCCTTGTGGATTTTTTTTATTATATTCTATCCTCATAATACCCTTAGACTTATGAAATTTTCAATCTATATAGACATACCAATATCATTTATTCTCGTCATGGTCTGGAATAAATAAGGAATGGAAATATTAAGTTCAATTTGTATCTCTATTATTTCATTTATTGTATGTGGGATGTGAAATTGCTTGATTTTTGCTGTCGTTGTTGATTTTGTTGGTCGAGTTTTTTTTTCAATAACCATAGTCATTTGTATTAAATGACTTTAAATTTTGATGAGAATGTCTAGGACTAATGAATAGCAATTTTGATGGTGCAATTTAAACAACTCTTGGGGATGCTGCAATAAAATTGAGAGTTGAGGGAGTTTTAAGTTGAGATGAAAATGAGTGAAAATTTCAATGAACGCTTTTAAAATTTTAAGTTTTTAACTTTAAGTTGATTCTTAAATAGGCTGTCCTTAGGTTTTTGCCGATTAGTCAAAAAGCGAGACATGTCTCGATTTCAGCTCTGAAAAACAAATTTTCATGTGTTTTCTACGAAAAATAGGTTTAAAAAAGCGCGACATTAAGGATTTTAGGCGGGATTTTGTTCAAAAAAGCAAGACTGTCCCGATAAAAAGTGCGCAGTTGGACAGCACAATCTTAAATTTTTTTGTATTTTTCAAGTTGAAGAATCTCTTTAAAGTCAACAAAAATGTAAAATCGAAATCAACAACCCAAATTCATGGAACAAACCTTTCGACAAATTCGAAAACAAGTCAAACAACCCTCTTAGGGGCCGTTTACTTATGACGTCTAGGGAGGGGGGTCAGCAAATAAAACACAAAAAAAAATTCCTAGAAATCAATTATTCTGTTTTTAAAAATGACCGTTAATTTTGGACGTCATAAATGAATGACCCCTTAATCTGATTCTCTTAAAATTTTTCATTATAAACCTGAATGCAATTTAGTTTATTCATTTAAAACATTTCCAAATGATTACAAGATCTTTACATTATCCAAATTTGTCTATCACATTAAAGTTTCCAAAATACTTTCTCTTTTTCTTTTTCAACTGTGGGTCAGATGAAATTTGAAATGTTTATTTAAGTGAACTTTTCTTCTTTTTGAAATACATTCTGTTTAAATTGAGTTTTATGCTAAGTTGGAATTATTGAAAAAATTTCGAAGCGTGCAAAATTTTCTTGGAAGGATGTGGAATTAATTTGGAAAATATTTTGATAAGCTTTTTTGGAAGTTTGGTAGAGTTCGTAATGAATTTAGGTTTTTATCAATTTTAATTTTATTTTTTAATAATAATTCTTAAAATTACGAAAGTGAGGAGGTTTGATTTTAGTAGAATCAATTCAAAATTTAACTTTTCTTTAAAAATTCTAAAAATACCAATGAAAATGAATTATTCAATCCTAGGGGTGGCAAACAGAGCTTTCACCGTTAAATTCGGAAAATTTTGAATATATTTTTAAAACTCACTTACACTAACATAAAATATTCGAATGTAAACATTGAAAATGTTTCATTGAAATTTGACTTAATTTCAACTAATTTTGGAAACAGGACATGATAAGTTGCTTAATGCAGCTTTAGTAATGATTAATAAATGCTTTAAACAAGCTTTAAAGTACGATTTAATGGATAAATTGCAAAAAAAAATCAAAAGTACAATTTTGTTTGTGTAAGTGTACCTTATGTTTCGAAATTCAAAATTTAAAAATTAACGGTAAAATAAGGTACCTTTCGAAATTTGTAATCGAAAAATAAGGACCGTTCGCCACCCCTGGATTCAATCAAAAATTATTTAAAATTCAAATAAACCATAAAATAATGAATAAATTACAAGCAAAAAAGTACAATTATGTTTCCATTGATTAGATAGGACTTATCTGATGAATATTCATTTCCTCAAAAGCCTTTTCAATGGAATAAAAATGCTAAAATATTTAATCAAAAGCAACAAGAACTTCATGCATGTTTTCTTCCTTTTTCCGACTCATTTATCGTAATAATATGTCTCAGGAAGCACGCGAATCCATAAAAACTCCTGCTTTCGACACACAAAATTTGATTTCGCGGTAAATTTAATCAAATTTTCATCAGCTCATCAAGAGTGCAAGCCCAGGAAGCCCATAAAAATTCATGATAATATAAAAATTCTCTTGTTTTATTTCATTCCAGTTGACGAGAGCAGGAATTCCATAAGTGTAAAAGGGGGGTTAATACAAAAAGTATACAAGCATATTGAAATCAGCGGTAATGAATATTGAAGTGCAAAAGTGAGAAGGCAAAAAAAATAACATGGCAGGAGACGAACGAGTAGCAAACAAATGAAATGTGTTGTAATGTCTAAAGTGAATGTTGTATTGTAGAGAAATGTAAGGAAAATATACAACAAAAGTGTAATCGTTGGAAAAAAAAGAAAGCTTTTTGTGCTGTGAATTGTGAAAAGAAGAAAATTGAGAGTAACAAAAGAAATGAGTGAAAAGAGCAAAAAGTGTAACATTATTTAAAATGATGTAGGCTAAACGACGGGGGTGCAAAATTACCCTTTTTTATTATTTTTCATTTCTTCAGCACTCACCCCAGTCCAAAAAAAAAAGTATAAAAATCATTTTTCTACCTCACCTCACATCTCCCTCCACCGACGAAATAAAATCAGCAGCTGCTTTTTGTGAGTGCTCGCGCGGCTGCTTAACATTTTCGTTTTACGGTGAAAAATGATTTTGAAAATTTATGATATTGTGGAGCTCACGACGTTTATGCTTTTGAAGCTTGTGTTGTTTTTATGTCTGGCACAAGGATACACAAAGAATGATAAAGAAAAACTTGGTAAGTTGAAGGAAATTTTGATTATTGTAAATGGAATAAAGCATCTTGATTGTGGCTGATTGTTCAATCTGGAGTGATTTCTTGACATTTGAAATATTTGCTGTAAACTTTTTCTTTTATTTAAATTGAAAAAAGAAAAATTTCTGCTAATCATCTCAACTGAGTGGTACTTTTTATGCTTTTTATGGGTTATTTTATTCATTTTTTTATGTGAATTTTTGAAACAGTTATTTTATTTTATGAGGAAATTTCTTAAAGAGGCTTAAAAATTTGTCTATTAATGAAGACCTTGAAGTTGAGGAAGCAACTTTTGACCTTTTTATATAATTTGTATGAAAAAATCTTGCAAATTTACGTGAATAATTTTTTTTAATAAACTCACGAACAGATACTTGAGATGAATGATGGTCAAATGTAATTACTGACAACTGCTTGCAGCTATTAGTGAATTTTTAAAATAAATTATAGCTTTTTTGGAATTTTTTTGCTACCTTCTTTATTTGCTTCATGCGAAAATTACTTCAAGTTGTTAAGTTATTGTTGCAAACTTAACCCCTCTATCCATATAGGGAGTTCCTGATGTAGCCAAAAATCATAGAGATGACTGAAATTCAATCTGAATCTGACCTTACTTTTTTTTTATTAAATTAATTGTGCACCAGTGTACTTGAACCTATAAGCGCTTCTACTTTTTATTTTTAACCATAATTAAGATTCTCTCAATCTAAAAAGATATTGAGTCTATGACCCATTAGATTCCTTTTTTCGCTAACATCTGCTCATGTTAATTTACATATATAATGCTTGGTGGGCTCAGCCTTAAGAGCTAAATGCACTGCAATTATAAATGTGTTGTGAAGTTAACTTAAAACATAGCAAGATAGATAAATTTGAATTAAGGGTTTGTAATACACGAAAAGGCACTGTAATCTCAGACCTTTTGAAAAAATACAGCAAAAATAAAATCTTTTCAAAATTAAATGATTCCTTTTGGAAATTACACATTAATGATAATGCATTTGAGCTTAAAAATTTGTCATCATTTTAATAATCCATAAATTATTCCAGCAACGTGGAGGCCTAATGACAGCATTCAAATATTCATTTCCCTTAAGATAATTACACCTTCGAGCATTTCCATGAAAAAATTGTGATGCGCTCTTAAATCCCATTTTCAATGACAACATCACCAGAGATAAAGCATCAGAGAGCAAGAAAGCTTTTGTCACTTTAATTTCATTTCCGTAAAAGCTCTGTACAAAAAAGTTTTAAAATATTTACATTTGTAATGCGACACTCTAATACTCATTCTTTCCTCTTTTCTGCTTTCCACCAGCAAAAATTATTGTTGTTATGTGTTGTGAGACTTAAAAAAACATTCCAAAATGGAAATGAAAAATTCAAAAGTAAAAATCCTCTCGACAATTGGATATGTGTGCAATTTCATTATAAATTCATTCATGACACCATTGTCATATCATCTACAGTTCTTTTACTAATGCAAATCCAATGTAATTTTCTCACTTATTCTACTCGTACTTTTATGGTGACAAAATGATCTGATTTAAAGATAATCGTAAACAGTGGTGAAATTAAATTATGATTATGAATTCTTGGCTTTAATGGCTGTATGCTTTTGTGTTTTGGGGAGTTTTGAGGTTCGAAGTAAGAGTTTTTGGAAGAGAAACTTAAATTTATTATTGTGCTTTCTTTTGTTTCTTGGTTGACCAACACTATTGATCAATCCACCTTACTCTTACTTTTTTATTCACGGTTATTGGCTGTTCACTTATGACGTCCAGGGGGATAAGGGGGGGGGGGGGGGGTCAGTAAGAAAAGAACAATAGAAATTCTTGGTAATCAATTGTTCTTTTTGGCAAAAATGACCGTGACAGAAAAATGACCGTTAATTTCAGACATCATAAGTGAACGACCACTTAGGCGAACCATCTTGAATGAAACTGCAGCTCAGGTGTATAGCCAGGGGGGTTTTGGGGGATTACAAATCCCCCAACGTAAACAGAAATTTCCTTATTTTTCTAGGGTTTTTATGAAAAAATCACCAAAATACCCCCCCCCCCCCCCCCTGCTGCAGCTTAAAGTCAAAACTTACATAACTGATAATCCAACATTAAGTCCAAATCTCATCAACTACATAATTTTTAATCTCATTTCATACAACTTTTCATCTCCGCCTCACTCTTTAAATTTTTAATTTTTTATGAGTCATTTAAAACAATTTTGGGTTGCAATGCTTTTATCATTATTACAATGCTTATCGTTATTATGTATTACGATTACGATAAATTAACATTATTGCGTGCATATCTGTGTAAATAAAATGAAGAATTTAACGATTTGAATAATGTATGTGAGAGTGAAAATGACTGTATTGCCTAAAGTCATGAAATCCATACGATGTAAATTAAAACGCTTCATCAACGTTGAATTGACTGCGACCTGTACTTTATGGCTACAATTTTTCATGTTTTATTGTGTTTCACAGCTCCCATAACAAACGTTGAGGCAATTGAGGGACAACAGACTCATCTTTATTGTCCAATGGCAACACCAAATGGTGATCGGATTAATATGGTCCTTTGGTTCAAGGATGATGTTGGTGTGCCGATTTATCGGTAATAATAAATCAAATAAAACAAAATTTTTGTTGGTAGTAAAAAAAAACTTTTTTTTATCTCAATTTTTCTCAACGACAGTTTTGATGTTCGTGGAAAATCAATGTCTGATGCGACAGAATGGTCGGATGCTACCGTATTTGGAACTCGTGCCAAATTTATTACACAGTCTGAACCAGCATTTTTAGAGATAGATGTAAGTTAATTAGCCCATGGGACATATTCATGCGGTTCTTTTTTTTCGGATGAGGATAGAAATAAATTTTAAGAAGAAAGAATTTATTTTATGCTGACTTGCTATTTTTCACTTTATTCACTTATCGTTTTAAATGCTGCCCATTTGGAATTATATTATTTTTTTTCTTCTGTGGCTTGGATGATGACGACGGATAAAATTTATTTAATTTTGTCAGGACATTAAGCGACATGATCAAGGCAAGTTAATATTGTGATTTTTTGTTGATTTTGGTTTTTAATGTTTGAATATTTATTTACAGGCATTTATCGATGTCGAGTGGACTTTCAAACTAGTCAAACAATTAGTTTAAGATTTAACCTAACAGTGATAAGTAAGTTTTGAAATTTTATTCTTATTGTGGGTTTAAATAAGAATCTGGACATGTAGGGCATTATACTGATGGTTTGTAGTGTATGCAGCTTAGTCTTGCATGTCCTGCATGTGTTAGATCTTTAGTTCAATCATGACATTGAATAATACAGTGTATATATTTAAGAACTTAATTCTAGTGTAATCATGCAACAGCTGCTTACAAAAACTCTAGAAATAACTCTTATTTCCATGCAAAAAGCTCTGAAGACTCTTCTTAATTTACCTCATCACAACATGCAAGCATTTCACTCCTTGCGAGCTCAAAATGATGAAATTAATTATTCAAAACTCATTAATGAACTCTTTCGTTTTTTTTTTCTTCTCCTTCCTTGAGATGCTCATTTACTCATCCATAATGAGTTCAGAAGCATTTAAAGCTTTAAAAAGCAGATTTTGCTTCCAAAAGGAAAATAATTGCTCAACATAAATCTTTTGGAAAATGCAAAAGTTCCATTTTTTTCTCACTCTTTCGTCGTTTTTTTCCTCATAATGTTTTGGAGATGTTTTTTTAAGAGCACACAATGAGCGAACTTCCATAAAATTGAAGAATAAAAACTAATTAAACTTTCATTAAGTGCACATTAAATTTTTTTTCCTGCTTCTTTCTGTTCATAAAGTATTACTTGAGCAGTTGTTGATAGAATAATTACATCGTATGGATAGGAGGTAAAAAAAGATTCATTTTAACTCTTTCGCGCTATGCAGAATTCCTTTAAATTCTGTAAAGCAACCAAAAAGAACTGATGTAAATGAAAATAGGCAGAAGAAATTGCATAAAATTAATGAACCATCTTTTGTTTCCTTAAGTCGCCTTTGTGACACATAAAAAGATTTTTTTTTCAAGACGAGTGGAATGAGCAATGCGATCCCTTTTTTGTTTGCTCGATACTTTCTATTTTATTTCATATTTAACCCGTTCTTTACTAGCGTAACATATATGTTACGCCAACTTTTTCGTTAAATTCTCTGCAATAATTGATTTTTCATTGAATCTGATTCATGATTTACATTTATAGCTAGATCAAGGACCTCCCTTAACATTTAATGTTGCTTAATTATGTAAATTGGAGAAGTTAATTAAACTTTTCTTTCACATGGAAAATTTAGTCATTTTGAAACTCAAAATTTCAACATTTTCTGACACATTTTTGATCAGAACTGGACAGATTTATAAAGTAAAGCATCTATAGTTATAGTTAAAAACTCATTTATAAAGATAAAGCATAGTTAAATACATTAACTATGTGACGATAATAAATGTAACATATGTGTAACGCTAGGAAAATACGATATAAATTGCCCGTTACATATGTGTAACGCTAGTTTTTTGCAAATATTTTAGTGTTTTGGATTTAAAATATTATTTAATTAATTAAATTAATTTGGCTTTGATTTAAACCAAATCATTATGTGTACGGCTAAATCATGATAAGAATGACGTATTTTTTGTCATATATATTAAAATTTGTGCTTCATGGAGGAATTTTTTACATTAGAAAAAAAATTGATTAAAAAATTAGGAGAAAATTTGAAAGTGATTTTTTTATGATTTAGACTGATTTCGCGTGATTAATAGTTCAATGATTAATAAAATAGAGTGAAAATAATGAGTTGTTGAGGTATGAACGCTGAAAAATGTCCCATTTCAAAGATATGACATAAAATAAATGTGGAAATATTTTTGAGTTATTTTCGTTTTCCTATTCCTGAAATAGCATATAATTAATTAAAAAGTATTGCATTATAGACACATGTAAAGCAAAGAGGTAAAATAAAAGAATTAAAGTTTTTGGAAGAAAAAAAATTTTTGCTTGCAAACTCCTAGCGTAACATATATGTTACGGACAAAATTTGTTAATTCTATTAAATCAGTGCATTTATTTGAGCCAAACTCTTCGTTAAACTTATTTTTATACTGTAATTCATCAAATAAATGCACTCTGATGTCCCAAAAAAATTCCGTAATTAACGGGTTAAGTGTCTACTGACGAATGACAATATTTTTTACTGTTTATAGGATAGAAATTTTGTATATATTCAATTGCCCATATAATAAACGAGAAAAGAACCAAAAAAAAGTACAACGAACTGTGTCATTATTATCGCATTTAGTGCTTAAGATGAACATTTTTTTGGAAGGAAAATGTCAGGGTGAACATTTTGTCAATTGAAATAAATTTTTTGCAATAAATTGAAGAGATTTTTTGGCAATAACGAGATATTTTAGGCTTTATGGTTGCAGGTTTAGTGTTCATATCCTTTTTAACATTAGTCTATATTGCACAAGTTTTCATGTGTCCTTTTCGAATCATATGTACTGGAAATGAGGCTCACTGCCTTCGTTTGCAGTCTGCATGCAGATTGTCATAAGAGGAGTGGTTCGGATCCCACTATAAACTGTTAGTCTAGGTTTGAGTGGGAGATCTGCAAACCCTCTCTCGTTAAACTATCATTAGACTTTCAACGCATTTAACGCAAAGCTATGGATCTTAAGGTCTGAATGCTAAAGTTCAGATTAAAGTTGAAGAAATTCAGACCTGGAAACCAGACAATTCAAGTCAATATCAATTGACAACTTTGAAATTAGTCTTATTTTTACAAACATTCATACATTTAAAAAAAAAAAAAAAAAAAAAAAACCTTTACCTATTCAGATCAATTGTGATCCAGAGGTGCGCTAGGGCGATTCGCAGCTAATGAGAGTTTAACGAGTGAGGATGCGCCAAACCACTGCACTCAAACCTAGACCTACAATTTATAGTGGGATCCGAACCACTCCTTTGATGACATTTCTGTCTGTAGCCTACAAAGGAAGGCTGTGAGCCTCATTTCCAGTACATATGATTCGAAAAAGAACAAGTGAAAAATTTCCCATACCCAGTCTCGAACCCATGATCGCTGTGTCGGTATTGCAATAATTAGGTACCGAAGTACTAAACCATTCCGCCACCGAGCCACTTCAGCTCACATTCATACATTTACATCCTTTTTTTGTCATGAAATTCATGAGTCTTGTAAGCAGAGTGGAATCTTGAGTACAGAGCCCTTTATGGCTGAATCTACAAGTGCGAAAGTAAAATCTCTGTAGCGCGAATCGTTTGGCTACAAATCTGATTTCTGTAACACTCTTTAACGAAGACATGGGTTTGATTCCCACCAAACACCGATCTCTCAATCATTTTAAAGAGTTTAGTCGATATGCCAAGAATTTTCACGACATTACAAATCCCATATTCAAATTTTTAAAAATATCATGACATGATTCGTACATATTTACAAAATACTTCCTGACAAATTCAACATGAAAATCTGCGCTACATCAACAGATTCTTAATAAACTCTCATGTTTGTTTAACCCACGAATTTTGTTTTTGTACATTATTCATATGCCTTTTTTTTTCAGTGGTTTAATCCCATTCTAATCTCTCTTTTTATTCTCATTCCTTTTTTCCGTACGTTTTTTCATGCATCATTTGAATTCGTTCACAAATATTTAAACAAAAAAAAAATCATAAAAATGTCTGTAGTTTTGCCGGAAAATCCGATTATTTTGGATCGTTGGGGTCGCATTATAAATAGAACAACCATTGGACCAATGGAGGAGGGCGATGATGTTATTCTTTCATGTCGTGTAGTAGGAGGTAAGTTGTTATTTTTGTTACTGCATGGTATATCCTCAGGGACTTTTGTTGTTGTTATTTTTTTTTAAATTTATTTATTTTTGGAAGACCAGATTAGTCAAGAGGATTGAATGACATATAAGGATGTTCATGCACATGCCATCTTCATTATTATTACTACTGATTAAATTAAGTCTGCAAAAATAACATTATTTCAGGCTGTACATGACATAATATTGACATTTAATTTTATAGAAGTTAATTCCGTTTTTGTGGCTTATCAATATTCATGAAAATCGTATAAAGCTATATAAAGTTCTGAGAATTTTATGTGCTTTTGGAATTTATTTACTCCTGATAAGAGCTCATCGATCACATTACATTTATAGACCTGGAATATTCTATATTTAACTGCTATAAATTACAATAATATCGAATTTATTTATACGGAATTCTCAATTTTCCTGAATTGAGCTCAAATTAACTTCAAAAATTGAATTGAATGAATATTTTCGGAAATTCTTGTTCATTTATTTTTGATGGTTTTAAAAACGAAGCATAATCAACAATTGCAAATTTTGTAGATTCCATTTGAAAAATTTGCAACAAACCTTTTTGAAAAAGAATTTTTTCATTCAATCCCACATCCAAGCTTAAATTTCAATTCAAGGCTGAATCATTTTCAACATTTAAAGATTAAGCTTTTTAAAAAATTTGTCTTTGAAATCCGACGCATCTTTTCATTCTTGAATGCCTTTTTAAATTGTGCGAAGGTTTAAAAAGCTAATTTTTGAACTAAGACGTACAAAGCTTTTATGTAAGAAACTGTTGATTGCCAACATTGAAGAAGAAAATGTTTGAATTTAAACTTTAAAAATTTGTTCAAACCTAACCTAAAATTTACCTTCCTTGTATGTTTAGGATGGTTTTTCTCTCTGGTTAATTAAAAATGGCAATGAACTTTTGAAGAGGCATTTGAGAAGGCTGACTAGATACTTTTTCACATAAAAGAAGTTGTCTGAATTTTTTGACCAGCCAAATCCTTAACAAATTAATATTTCAATTCACAGGACGACCCCCACCAGATGTGTCGTGGTTTTTAAACGGCGAACTCATTGACGACGAATTCGAGCATAGTTCTGGCAATATAATAGAGAATCGTTTACTGTGGCCTTCAATTCAACGACACGATTTGTATTCGGTATTCACGTGTCGTGCTGTCAATACGAAAACAGTAGCGCCTAGAGAAAAGCGTTTAGTATTAGATATGTACCGTAAGTATAAATACAATTTAAGAGGCCTGACTATGACACTAATAGCAAATTTTCATCCCCTTTTTTTTGCCTTCCATTTATCTTAATGCCGTCTACACACAATCATGTTCATTGCCACAATGTTCATGCAATATAAATGGAACCAAAAAAAAAATAGTAAAACCAATTTACGTGAATATTCTCAACAGTTCGTTAACACTTGTTGCGGATAGAAAGTACGAAATTCATTGTGTAACATCAGGGTCGCGTCCTGATGCAATTATTACATGGTTTAAAGGCAAAAAGTCATTGAAGAGGATACGTGATTATAGCAAAAACAATGAGACCACATCAATACTCAATTTCGTACCATCGATTGAGGATAATGGGAAGATGATGACGTGTCATGCTGAAAATCCTAATGTTGCTGGCATGTCTGTTGAAGATAGTTGGAATATGAGTGTCTTTTGTAAGTGATATTTGGGTTTGTGGTGTTAAATTTGAGGGAAATAGGTTCTACTGACTAAATACTTGCTCGTTAGAATGAGCGACTAGAAAGCCGTGATTTATTTTATGCAAATTCTCTCCCAACAGATCCACCAGTAATATCATTAGAACTCGGCTCAAAATTGCAACCCGGTGATATAAAAGAAGGCGACGATGTCTATTTTGAATGTAAAATTGAAGCAAATCCAAAATTCCGTAAATTACAATGGCTTCATAATGTAAGTAAACATTAAGTCTGAATATTTTATTCAATTTTCTATTTGATTTATGCAAATTGATTGTCTCAAAATTGAGACACAAATCACACACAGGAAAAATTCTTCGATTTTATTAAAATAATTGTTTTGTTCGAGATGAATACTAATTAATTCATGCCAAACACTCGACTATAGTAGTTTATTTTTGTTGGAATTCTTTATCGATAATTTAAATCAAATAAAATTTTTTTTTCTGGTTTCCTTTTTTATCTGGTTTGAAAAAATCAATGAATTTGAAGAAGATTTCTTGTAGACTTGAGTTTTTCGATTAGGATACTACATCTGCAATTGACTATAGTTAAGGATTGAATTTATTCAAAGCACGTATTAAAGTGGAATTTAAATAAACCAGTTGAAAGAGTGAATGGATGTTAGGAATCTTTTAATTGGTTTTTGTGGACCAAAAACTTTTTCAACTTTCAAAATCAAATAAATTTGGTTCGAAAATAGCCATTTTTGGACAACTTAAGACTCAAATTAGCTAGAAATCGATTTAAAATTCACTACGAGTTCTTGAAATGCTTTAAAATTCACTACAAATTCTTGAAAAGCTTTAATGAAGATTTCCAGTGAGAAAACTTGATTGCAAATCTCATTATGAAAGCAAGTTCAGTTCTTATTTGTTTATATTTTCGAGAAGAAGTGAAAGCGCAAATATTTATTAAGCAAATATTTGAATCATTGTTCCGCAAACTCACTTATTCTATTATTCGCAGTTCTAGAAACTTTTTCATTCATTCATAAATCAAAGAATAAAATCAAATCTAGGAATAGGCTGTCCAACTGCGCACTTTTAAGCGAGACAGTTCCGTTATTCTGAACAAAGTCTTGCTTAAAATCCTTAATGTCACGTTTTTTAACCTATTTTTCTTGGAAAATGCTTTAAAAATTTGGTCTGTCCCTATTTTTTAGAGCTGAAATCGGGTCTCGTCCCGCTTTTTGATAGTGAATTAGAATTCTGATTAAAATTCTAGAATCTAAATTCCATTGAAAAAATACTAGAATTTTAATTTAAATTTTAATAAAATTTGATTTTAATTCCAATTCTATTTCGATTCTAGAATTTAAATTAAATGAATCAATTCTGGAGTTGTAATTGAAATTCTTGCTTGAAATTTTAACAATAACTTGTTGTTTCGACAGGAACTGAACAAAAAATACCAGGTTAAATATGAGCATATGGTCCAATATGGACGTAAAGGAACTAGCGGAACTGCTTAGTTCCGCGTAACTGAGCCCCTCCTGGAAAAGTCATGAAACGTTGAGAGAACGAAAAGAAATTTGACAGTTCCAGTCAGTTGGACATACCCAAATTTTTTTTACCCGATGAACATCATACTTAGAAAGTTTAAAGTTACAAACCCTTAAAAACTTCAACTACTGACATATTTGTTCCAAATTTCATTTCCAAATAGAAGAATCCAGCGTTCTCTACTTCGAACGCTAAAACCTCTCCCGACTACCATAAAACTTCATATTTGCATCCCTCAATCTCAAACAATAATTTTTCTTTTAGCCCAAAATTTGGCAAATCGTAATTCCATAAACAAATAAAATGAAAAAGCAAAATTTACAAATCATAAAAATCTAAAGCACTGATTCAATTAGCATAGCATGATGTCAGAGACAATAATCCACAAAAAAAGTACTGTACTTTCCATTAAATAATTATCAGCGAGGCAAGAATAAAATATAAACTTTGTCTTTTTCATGAAAAGCAAAATAAAAAGTTTCTGTAAAGTAAAAATAACAGAAACAGAAGTCATTCCTAGAAAATCAATTCAAAGTAGAACTTTTACTTGGCGCGAGAGCTTTCAAGAATAAAATTATCATTAAAATGCAGACAGCATGAAATTTTTGCTATTTTGAAGCGTTGATGAATTTTTGTTTTAATTATTCAAGTTGAATCGAAGCTTGGAATCAAGCTTTAAGCTGGTTTGTCATTTTTCGGGTGAAAAGAGGTAGTTGTGGGAATTGGAAGTACTTTGGGGGTATCGAATAGTTAATCTGAGTGACATAAGGAAGCTTTTAATAAAGCTTCTTCAAACCAAGACAATCAACGCTGAATATAAGCTTAGACTAGATTTAAGATAACTTCAACCAAGTCTTAAATTACAGAAATCAAGTGTGTGAGTTTGTCTCACGAGACCATTTAACCAAAAATGTTTTCCACTTTCTTTCATGTTCTTCTTTTCTTTCCTCACATTTTTCTACTTCCTCCTATCATCATAATTGCCCAATTAGGGACGACCATTAAAAACAAATAGCAGCACGAAAATTGTCAAATCAAATCAAAGTTTGGTGCTACAGAAAGTTACAAGATTCTCAGCTGGAAAATATTCATGTTCTGCACTCAACTCCGAAGGCGAAACAGTGAGCAATGAATTTTTATTGAAAGTAAAGTACGTACCAATTTGTGCCACTGACAAAATGATGATTGTTGGAGCGACAAAAGGCGAAAATGTTCAACTGAGTTGCGATGTGAAATCGTATCCGTTACCGAAAAAGTTTCATTGGAAATTTGAAAATTCTGAAGAGTCGGTGGAAATTGATTCAAGTAAATTTTTCAACAATGGAACGAAGAGTTTATTGAGTATATCGACAGCCACAGATCATGTGAGTACTTGAATTTTTATATTTGCTTTATAAAGTTTTAACTGTTTTGTAAAATTCAATCGTACTGGTTTTGTAAAATTTAAATTGTAACGGTTTTGTAAAATTCAAATTGTAACGGTTTTGTAAAATTCAAAATTCATATCTCAACAGGATTACGGGAGCTTCTCATGCTGGGCGAAGAACGAGATTGGAGTACAAGCATCACCATGTATATTTCAACTAATTCTAGCTGGTCCACCTTCACCTGTTACAAATTGTTCGTGGACAAATGAGTCTGAATCATCACTTGTTATTAATTGTAGTCCTAATTATGATGGTGGACTCAATCAAGCTTTTATTTTAGAAGTTTCATCACTGAAGCATAAAGTTCAATTGTGAGTGCTTACATGCTTAATTAATTATTGATTAAATTGACATTTTGTAATATTTTTTTTGTGTCCACACAGATTTAATATAAGCAACACAAACGAACCGACATTTAGGTTCGATCCAAATCGTAGAATATTCGAAAGATTTCAAAATTCATCAGAAAATGACATCCTACGTGTCAGCGTATATGCACGAAATCAAAAAGGCAGAAGTGTAGGAATTTTTATCACAGAATTTCATCTCGGAAATTACAAACGTAGTTCAAGTGATCTCAAAGAGTCATCATCAACATCACCAATAGTCTTAGGAATATTTTTTACACTACTCATCATCGGATTGACAATCATAGCGCGACTATTTTGGAAATCGAGAAAGATAAAGAAGGAAGTTGTGAAGGAGGATAAATATAATATGGAATCTAGATGCTCATTACTCAAACAGGATAATTTTGCGGTGAGTCTAAAAGGGCAAATTTATAATTTATGTGGGTTGTTTGATGTGAAGTGTGGGATTTAAACCTTTCGGAAATATACAATAGAATGAATAACAATTTGATTATATTGATCTATATCAGTGATGACCAACCCAAACTCCAAAGAATAAGACATTACACAGTCAATTTAAACTATCAATGTTGGAGGGAATGGCTGGTTGGTTTTGTAATCTCAAAGAAGCAAGACTGCTGGTGAATTATTGTTCAGTTCTTCAATATCTAAGTTCAAGGACTGTCTGAGACAGACAAAAATATCTAAATCTCATTTTCACAAGCAATTGATAGACAATTGGAAATCAGCAGAAGATTATTAACAGTTTTGTTTCCCAAAGCCATAAATAAATCTCAGAAGAAGCCTTAAATAAAATCAATAATAATTATCGGCAGTAGAAAGGAACAGAAAAGAAAACTTTAAGACAATCTCTTCCTTCACACGTGTTCTTTTAAAACTTTTGTGCCTTCTTCTCATTCTTTATTCATCCATATCATGTTCACGACTGCCACAACGTTAATCTTGTTTCTTCTTCTTTTCTGTATCCTCTTTCCATCTCACTTACTCATATTCTTATTATATCTTTCCTTTCATTCACAGTCGGATGCTTTCTCAAGTCCAAAATTCAAGCCGACAGGCACGAGCATAAAAACGAGAGGGAAAATTGAGACTATAGATGATGAACAGGATCCAGATCTCATACCACACTATCCACGTCTCACAAACATTCATCAAGAGGAATTGATACCAATGAATTCAGATCCATCATTTCTTAATCGTGATAGACATAAGAATGCAGCAAATGATTTTCTTCATGATGTTGAAATCAATTTTAATGGACTGCTTATGAATGGAAAAGTACCCGAGAGTTGTGTATGAAATTTACTTCTTTTTATTCTTTTTTAATTTATAAAAAAAAATTGCTTCCTTTTTGTTTTGTTTGCGTAGCTGTTGAGTTGTGAATTCAATTTCATTGTTCAACTGCAATTGGGAATTTAGCAATAGAGTTTGGAGGGGTTGTTCATAAATGATGGTAAATGAATTCAGGTTTAAGACTTATGGAACTCGATTTTTCCACAATACTGCAGTTTTCAGCTAGCTTTCGAGTTCTGCAGTGGAAAATGTATAAGTTGAGAAATCATAGTCAAGGATTATGAACAGCAAGGCTAAGCTTCAAGGTCTACCCTATGATAAAAAATTATTTCGATGACCTACGTTATGGGATATAAATAAAATCAATTTGAGATTAAGTTAGAGTGTCCTGGTAGTTATAGAAACCAGGACTAGTTCCACAGATATTTTCTAAAATATCCCAACAATAGGCTTCGATTCTGAGCCTTTTATTAAGCTATTTAACGTGATGCAAATCGAGTATGAGATTGAAATGTTTATTTTAAACAATTCAGACCATTTTGGAACAGTTTCTGCGTGGGTGGTCGACTACCATGATGGTTCTATTGCACTCTTACAATTACGAATTCTTATTCATTCACACAATCTTTATGATTAGTCTGTCCATCAGTTTTTACCGGTTGGTCAAAAAGCGTAACATGTCCTGATTTCAGCTCTAAAAAAGTGGGACAAACCGAATTTTCAAGCATTTTCCAAGAAAAATAGTTTTAAAATAGCGGGACATTAAGGATTTTAGGCAGGACATTGTTTAGAAAAGCAGGATTGTCCCTCTCAAAAGTGAGCAGTAGCACAGCTTATTTATAATGGACACCATAAGTGAACAACCCCTTTTATTGTGTTTGAAAAAATCGCAATTAACCCACTTTTAAAGAATCATCTTTTGTTCCACAAAATAAGTTTACTCATTAATAATGAATCGCAGAACAAACACAAGTGGGATTTCCGTTGAAAAATTGATGAAAATAATTTTTCCTACATTTTTTCATTCTGAAACCTTTTCGATAAATTAATCATAATTTTGCGTTCTTTTTCTCGAGAAACCCAATTAAATATCAAATGTTGAGATATCTTTTTTATAAGAAGCTTTCATGTTTATAATAAGAGATTGTACAGATATGAACAAAAAAAGAAATAAAAAACAAAGTATGGCATCTGAAAGGATGTAAAAAATGTGAAATTTGAGATTTTTTGATTTTTTGTTTAAAAATATTTTTAATGAAATTTCAGATTTTGTAGCTTGAATGTGATTAAAAGTTGTGATATTGACTAAAGGTTGCCTACGAGCCTTAGGTAGACTGCTGTTTAGTGCTAACACAGTTTATACGTTAAACTATATAAATTGGACTTAGGGTGCAGCTAGAAGAAGGTAAACCAATTCTATTGGATAAAATTCTAGCTCCACTTTTGACTAGATCAGTGCTACTCAAACTATGGTCCACGACACCATCAATAATCGTTAACTAGTCACAGAAACATACAAAGCAGCTATAAGTGCTGAGATAACAAAATGTCTGATTTAAAACTGTGACTAACTTCATTCCAGGAAGCTTATATCCCCAAATTTCACCAAAATGCTTGTGCCTGTTCATCACATTCCAGATTGTTGGCAAACAAATCAGTTAACGAGATAAAAAGATCCGAATGATATAGCTAAACTTTTCATTAAAAGTTTCTGACTCAAAAAGTCATAATATTCCTCCATATTCACATATGATAAAGAGCTTAATGAGCACATGCAGCATGTTTGTATGATGAACAATTTAATTTAAAACTAAAGCTCATAAGAAGAAAATTATGAAAGATATTTTAATGACATTCGTCATTTTTTTTCATGAAGATAAATTATTTTAATGCAAGCACGTAACATATTTGCATTCATAAAAGATGTGTGCATTAAAATGATACGGAAGTTTAATCATGTCGCAGCTGATGAGGACAAAAAAAAGTAAATAATCAAACGAGACGAGTAAGTTGTTCTACCGATGTCTGGATCGCTTAACTTATTTTTTTAATTAATATGGAAATTTTAAGCTGTGCTGCATGTAATATTTGCAACGAGAACTTGCATGCACTGATGAGATTATCATATGAAACAGCAAATGTTGTACACAACTCATTTAGGTAAATATTATTATGCTGCAACGGTAATGAATTTTGCACGAAATGTCGATGTTATAATTATCATGTTAAGGCAAATAATAAATCAGTGTGGAGCAGTGATGGCAAACCCATGTGCCGCGGCACACAAGTGTCGAGCGAAAAATTCCAACGTGCCATGTACGTTGTGATGTTTTTGTCAAGGCTTTCGTCTTAGGTGTGTCATCGCACAAAAAAGGTTTTCCACCACTGGAATAGAGAATTTCCCATTTGCTGCATTTAGTTACAGTTTTGTGTTGGTTCTATGGAATTGGATGTGCTGCTGAAGTCAGGATGCTCTCCCTAGACATGATTTTTTCAGTTAAAATGAGAAAGTAACCTTCAACTTTTTTAATAACCTCAAATCTCGTCAGTGGATCTCATTTAAATAACAAAGTTTCATCGCTAATCTGCAAATGGACTTGTACCGATTTCAAATTCAAATGTAATTTTCATAACCTGCAATCTATGCTAAATCTACCTCGTATCATATCTCGTTCCTCCCGTTTTCTTGACCTTTTTTTCATGAATTTAATATTCTCGACATTAAAATTCATATTTTATTATAAAATGAAAAAATAATAAATTTATGCACAGAATATTGCCAGGAAAAAAATGTGTATTTTTATCCTTCAATATATTCATAAAATATGAAAAGGAAACAAGTGAGAGCGAATTGATGCCAAAAGAGAATTTGAAATTAAGCAGCAAGTTTTCAATTTAATTTGGTTGGCATGGCACAGGAGGGAAGGCAAATATTTTATTTTAAATTAATTTAGCTGTATTTGATAAAGTTGAATAGAATATTGAATTTTTTGACATAGAAATGGTTTTTTATACTGAATATTTTAAAATTTCAATTTTTAAAATTAAATATTGTAAAATTAGAAGTTTTGAAAAATTCAAAAAATTAAAATTTGTCAAAATTCAAAATTTTGCTGATTATAAAATTTTTAAAATTAAAAACTGTAAAATTCAGAAAACTTTAAAAATTCAAAATTTTAAAAATATTGAAAAATTTTAAAAATTTCAAAAAGAAATAAAATTTTCAGCGGTTTTTAAAAAATCACAATTTTCTTAAATTATGAAATTTTGACAATTGTACATTAACAACAGTCGATATTGCTTGCTTCAAGACTGCCATGAATGAAACCTTTGAGCATAAACTTCTCAGCACAACTCCGCCTCCAATTCAATCAATGAATATCCCATGCATGAGCTTAAGTTTGCATATGAAATTGAAATGTTATTTGATTAAAAATTCATCAATGAAATCCTAATTCAATAAAATTTCAATTTATTTTCGCCTCTCAATTCCGTTTGATTCCTTGTTGACCTGCAACAAGTATGTCTATATAAACTAGAAATTTAAACACATTTAGTCGAACTCAAAGAGAATTATTAAGGATGGCATAAAAATCAAGTCATATCAATTGATTTGATGACAAAACAAGATGAAAACAAGACATAAAAATTTTATATTCACAAAACAATTTTTTTTATGATTTCCCGTGGTAATCTTTTATCCATTTTGGTGCGGCAAGTGTAAGTGGAAAGTAGGAAGACGTAAAGAGAGTTGAATGAATAAGAAAAGAACCTGCAGAGAGTGAAGATTGCAAACGAAATGAATAGCAAAAGGTGGCAAAGCCGTAAACACAATCCGTAATAAAATTTCATGCAGAAAGCGAAAAGGAAAAAGAAAATTTATCTCCTGATTACGCGGTGAGAGAAACGAAAAGAAAAGGACATTTATGAGTCGTAACATAAAGCAGCAGCGGAATCATAAAAATATGTATTATTTAAGAGATGAAATCTTTATTACACTTTTTTCTGATGCTGCTGCTGCGTGCTTACTTTTGCTTTGACTACAAATAAATAATGTTGAAGGAATGACGACTTGTTTCTTCTTCTTCTGTGGATGGGAACTTATAAGTTTTGTAATAAAGTTTCAGATGAGCTAATATGCGAAAGTGTATCTAGGACTTTGGGAGTTCTAGGATTTTCTGATGTGGTGTACGGATCATGAAGGACTCTATGACTAAATGGTCTGAAGAATTTAATTTTCAGATTCTTCTCTAAATTTTCAAGACTGACTCTAGTTCTAATTTAAAGGTACGCCCGAAAAGCACACGACCTTAAAACTGTTTGTCAACCTGGTATCCTGGAAGGCATAAATGCGGGATTTCACCAAATTTGACGTGGTGCCGCATTCATGCCGTTCCTGGATGTCAGATTGACAGCTATTTTTACGCCATGTGCCTTTCAGGACGTAGCTTTTGTTGACCAGTTACATCACTTAACGTAGCCTAGTTCATAACTTCTTTTATGAATCTAACATCTCATTATATTAGACGGGAATCTAGGTCACCAAAAAAGCTGTTGTGCTTAAAGCTGTCTGACTGTAACATCCTTTAGGTATGTATTTCGACCTATAGATACCTTTTCCACCTTAGGATAAGTGCAGTTCCAAAAACTACTTAAAGAATCAAACTTGGGATTTCTAATTCAAAGGCCCAATACCTTATGTCTAAGCTCCTACTGTATTCAAATTCCTTGTAATCCTAGAATCTCAAACTATTTCCTATACATATCAGTATGTATCATCATTACATCCCAAAAAGTCATGTAATACAAATCTTCCATTTCCACCTCTTGCATGCTGATGTTATGCTGAAAAGTAAAAACGAGAAAATATTAATAAAGCTCTTCCTTTTGCATCGTGTGAAGGCTTCTCTTTTATATCTCTACAAACAATTCCGTATTTTTTTTTGCTGTTGCTGTTATTTACTGATTACCAAATTGAACCTGTCGACATTCAATTATGGACACTAGTGCAGAATAAAAATATTTTAGTGCTGCTCATCTCAACATTCACGAGATTTTTTTTATGCTTCACGCTTCTCACTTCAGTAAATAATTTTTTGGCTACGTCTAGAAAAAAAAATATATGGCTATAAAAAGTTTTCATCATGAAAAATGCTTGGACAGTGAAAATGTTTGCTGTGAAATTTCAGGATAATAATGTCCAACATTGGCAGCAGCAAAAGGTAAGCAGACAGTCAAAATGGACATATTTTTTTAATACTCAAACTTTTTCCCCATGAGAACAAGACATCAATTTGTGAGGAAATGTTGATTATGGCTGGGGTGCTTTATGCTTTTCACAACTTAATATTTCAATGCTTCATGCTCAAGTACGAGACATAACGGATGTTTTTAATTGAATTATAGTAAGAGATTACAGAGCATTTATGTAATGATTTTGAGTGGATGGCTTTTAATGTTCTGACTGGAGATTTATTTATGTAAAATATGGTCGTTTAGTTTGCGATGCAGATGGGAGTTGTGGTTGTATATTTATTGAATTTAAACGGCTTTGTTTTTTCTTGAGTTCAAGTCACTGTAATCTACTCGATGCAGTTAAGGTGGAAAATGGGAATAATAGGAACGATAATAAATAGAACAAAGGCATTAAGCATTTATATTTTCTTCTTCAAAGACTTAGACTTGGGGAAGTTGAAAGCAATTGGATTTTCATATTAAAATTCAGAAGTTTTCATATTTAGTAGCATTTATCATTTAAATGTTGAAAAATCGGAAAAAAAACTAGTTTTTGACACTTTTGTCAAATTGGTCACTTAAACCTCAGGCCTTCTTAAAGTTACAAACATAAAAATAAGTGAACTCCTCAATAAACTAATGTATCGGGTAGAAAACCAATGCGGATATATCACACCGTACCATCAAAAGTCTTAATAATTATGGATAGACCAAGATTTGCTCAGCATAAGTTTGAAGGGTGGGCGTGAAGTACGGCCGAGACCCATATCGACACAGTTCAAAAGTTATACCTAATTTATGTTCTAATTATGTCAGCTACAAAAACACTTAGTTTGAATTTTGTCACCCTCAGGAACACTATGAACCAGTATAGCTGATTTTGGTCCAAATCTCATGATTGAACCACATTTTCTCGTAAATGTTAAAATATTATAAAAAAGTAATTGATTTTGACTAGGGTCGCCCC